TTTCCAAATGTATAATACAAAATAGGGTGTTCCATTAAAAACCATTGTTGTGCCACAAAATTGCGCAACAGCCTGAATATTTCCAAATAATTTAGAGATACACGCCTTGTTGCGCAACGTGCTTTTGAATATCATATATAGCTCTTTTATTAAATACCTTTCCATTTTCTTCGGCACACCCTGTATATATTGTACGTGCTCATGCGATTTTTATTACATCGTTAAGTTCCCTGAATATATTAAGATTAGAGAGTTTTCGTGAAATGGCGTAGGCAGGCTAACCCAGCAAACTTTAACACTCTGTATCTGCAACACAAAGCCATTCTGGACTTTGCGCCCATTGGAATATTATTTGATCAGCACAATATAGATTTTTTTAAATGGACCGATAGTCAAATCCCATATATTTTTTGCCTAGTATTTTATCTGAAAGCCTGTCTCAACAACTTGTCACCAAATAATCACGTAAGTTGGTGCTACAGTCATTCAATGCCCACATTCACTTGAATGCCCAACCATCGTTTTGTACTCTTCAACTTCCATCAACTAACCCATATATTAATCTCATTTTTAGATCTAGTGCCATTTTACTTATAAACCGTCTCAATAGCATTCCTTGTGCTCTAAAATTTATCTACATTCTAGTCCTAGTGCAGTCGACTCATCGCAAATCACCATGCCTTAACTCTCATTTTCCTAACCGATCGGTTTCTTTAACGCGGCTGTTCACTAACGAAAAATAAAATAAAAGAACAAAAATAAAATGATAAATTTATTTAAATAAAAAAGTTACAAATTAAAATACAAAATAATTTACAGCCTTTTTCGAATCGAAAAATAAAATTTAACAAAAAAGTTCCGGTTTCCTTATGATCTCTTGCGTGTCTTGGTCATACATATTGTACTTACATATAACCAAAAGTTATCAGTTTCTCGTAGCGTAAGTCCTTAGAAATATACATTGTTGACGTACAAAAATTTTTGAAATACTTTACGCTAAACAATAAATAACAACGCTCAGTTTCGTCTGTGAATAACTAGAAGTGAGTAACATAAATAAAAAGTAAAATGATGTAGACAAATGGGATTACAAAAAACGTAAGAGCTGCTTTATTTCAAGGAACACACAGCCAAGTATATGAAGTCACTACAAAATACAGTTAACATACTTGATTAGGGGTTATATGAAAAAATAACATAATACTGTTAATTATTTAAATAGTCCATTAACAACGGATTCATATAATTTTTGTCGAGAGATATTAACCATCCTATTATAATCCATTTTCTAAATATTCATTGTACAACTGACGAATAGTGAAAAATCGTTTTTCGTTTTCATTTTCTTCCATTTGGATCCGCCACTTTTGGACTATTTTTTTATTACCTAAGATGTAATATGTATATAAAAATAATCGCAACATATTCCTATGTCAAATAAAAGAGAGTACAAACTTTTCTTGCTCGTCTTTATAGTTTTTCTAGAAAAATTGTCAGTTATCAATATTCCTTGCATCCAAAGTGGATTTTTTTTTAATTTTAAAAGGCGATTTGTAATGTTTGTGAAGTAAAGCAGCTTAGAAAGCACTCTAAAATTTTCGTCGCCAACCGTCAACACCATACTTTCATAAATCTACTCCTCTACATCATAATAACGGAAAACAAATATTATTTATTCTCAAACTTCATCATACGTATACAAAATTTTCACAGATATATACAAGATGCGAATAAATCTTAATAGAATACAAAAAAGAAAAAACAACAAACTAAAACATATTCCCTCGCATTCGAATGCAAAAAACTAATTCTATGTGACCTCCTTAAATTAGAAAATATGTACAAAAAGGAACAAAATTGCTTCACTACAACTCCTAATGATAAATATACATGTATTTTTTTGGCGTTTCATGTAAAAAGAAACATTATACGTCTCATTTTAAGTAACAAAAAATATAAAAAAATCGTCATGTTTGCAAGACCGACTACCAATAATTTGTTCCACACCGTAACATTTTTTGTAGCTCAAAAAGTATGCGAAATCACACTTTGAATTTGTACGATAATATAGCGATTCAAAAACGGCTGTAAAAGCCTTGATTTGGTACCGTTCAAATGAGAGGTATCAAAATACCATTTATTGAAAGTCAGATGTACCTATACAGAAGTAAGTAAATCAAACGAAGTGCTCAAGTTCAAATACATTTTTGGTAGTTTTCAGCTTCTAAAATTTAGTGTTTAAAAGTATTTGTAAGTGTAATTAAATGTCAGGAAGAAATCGTACAAATCCAAAGTATATGTCCAAGAATTTCCAAAATAAAGCCTATTTCTAGAGAGTAAGTACACTATCGCTGTTTGGGAGCATATCAAACAGTGAGGGAAAAACAGCTAGTCCAACAAGCGATAGTATCAAAATGGAATATCCATCTCTATTTTGGAAATGTGAGTATATTACAATTGCTAAATAACTTCTACTTCCGGATTTAATCATTATGTAATTATTTTTTTGTTGCTCAGATCTCATAATATTCTGTTTATCTGCATAAACATGTGTTCAAGAGTAGTTTAATTCAAAGTTCATTTACAGAGAAAGAACTAGGAAGGTCTATCGGTAGCCTACCGTGAGAATACATGATTAATTACAATTTTTACTAAAATATACACCAAAAAACTCGGTTTACAGTGCTTAAGTTATTGATGACAATACATTGGGCACGTTACCATGAGGGTCAAGCGTACTAACAGAAGGTTAGAAGACCCTTTACAGTTTTCTGCAGATATTTTTTTGGTGAGTCTAATCAAAAGTATGCCAAAAAACCTACAATCAAATTACCGATAGGTAGTCCTATTCAACAGTTTTTACTATTAACGAACTTCGCTATAAACTTTTGTACCATTGATTGGAGTAGTGTTATGTAAGTGAGTGTTATTGGTCGTGGGCGCCTAGAAATGTACATTTTTGCTAGTATTGTGTATACTAAATAAGTTGTATGTTGATCTAAAAAATAACACTAATGATTAGCAAAGAAGTAGAAGATAGGTAATGATTGTAGTAAGTTATCCCTTGAAATTTTGAATTTGCCGAGCCAAATTCAGTGGATCGGCGGGTGTAAAAACGCATAAAGTATTGGAAATTACTGAAAACACAATGTAGTTTAATGAAGGCCGGTCTAGGTCAAGATCAGTAAATATCGAATGGGGACTTTATGGTGTCTCCACAAACTAACCAATCGCTGTGCTTATTAAAGATGTCGACATTCATTGATTTTAGCTACCAGACTGTAAGGTTCGCAGAGTATAATACTGAAAAGGTCTTATTGAAGGTACGGAGATGGCGCATCGAAAGCGCGAGAAGCAGCATTGCATTAATAATAATAATAGCGTTTATTTGCAGAGCAAAAAAATACAAAGAGAAAAAAAATTAAAAATAAAGAAACAATATGAATTTCCTGCAAATGGGACTAGTAAACAGACGAGCTGATCAAAGTACTAGCCCAACAAACAAAATTACAACAGAGGAGTTCTTAACCAAATTAATATTAATAATAAATAAATAATAATTATAAATCGTTTATAATCGCGCGAGGCTTCGATATTCCATCTAATAGATTGAAGTTTTGCTAGAAATCTATTCAATGTCCAGATAATTTGTTTAGTATGCTTCAAGTGTGACTAATAGTTGCAAACTTCTACCAAAGAGACAATAAAAACAAAATAGATTATTTTGTCTGTAAAGCAAGTTTTAGATAATCTTTGAGCATTTGTACTTCCGATGTAATTTTTTTATACGTAAATGCAGCGGATTCGTTACACACACCGAGTTAAGTAATTTTCTGAAAACTTCATAGATTCGTTAAATATGAACTGCTTGAACAACGAATGCAAAACAGAAAAGACGGCCATATACTTAATAATACAACTGAAAGGCGGCATCGTCAGAACACAATTTGAGGGGTCATTGGGCACTGATATTACTAGGTTTTATATGATTATGGATGCAAGTCAGTTTATGAAAACGGTTTTGAAATACAGGGCGATTCGTAATGAATGCGCCAAAAAACTCGAATGACCGAGTCTTAACGAGAGAGGTATTGAAAAGTTAAAATTTTAAAAATATTTTGTTCTCTATAACCCCAGCTATTTTCATGCTATAATTTGGAAATTGGGAATCATGGATTTCAGATTATACTATATTTTTTAATATACTATATAGAGGGCATCAATTACAACCATTATTTTAAAAAAGTCATGATAGATCGATGATTTTCAAGTAAAAAATGTACTGCATTTATTTCGAATAAACAAACCTTTTTTGAGATGTTTGCATCGCATCATTCAAATGACTGGCCAAATAGCAGTTTGTTAATAGCGCAATATATTTTGTCCGAGAAATGAACGTATTTCACGGATATTTGACAATATCTCAGGCATATTGACGTTGACCATAGCATATTCCATTATTAGCGAACATCGTTAGTTTTGTGCAATAGAATGTTGAAACGCAAATATCTTAAAACTTAAATAAATGTGGAGCACTTTTTTTATTTAAAAATGATCACTTTATCATGATTTTTTATAAAAGATAATGTAAAGAGAGTTTCAAAAATGTTATAGCATAAAATAGGCTGTAACCACCGCCATCTTCATACTATGTTGAAAAATATAATATTCATTTTCAGAGACCCTAAACTTGATTCCCAATTTTTATGTTGATAACACAAAAACAGCTTGGGTTCTTGGTAGGTGATTTTTAAAAATAAAATTTTCAACACCCTGTGTCTCATTAACGACATTTCAGTAAAGCACCTGGGTTTATTTTTGGCGCATTCAGTGATAGTTCGAGTAGCGCTATGATTGACTTTATGTGATTTAATAAGCACTGAGCAATTCATCAGTTTGAAATAATCACAATCTGGGTCCCATTTTACCTTTACCGATCCCGCTCGTCAATAAAGTAGTACCGATGAGCGACGCCGTGATCCACCATGTTCCGCACGTACCGCGCCACTGCTTCCGCTCTCTGCAGTTCAGCTTCAGCTAGACGCAGCTGCGCCCTCATGTTTTAGCATCGTCGACTCGACGCTAGTGCAGTCTGCCGGCGAACCTAATGATCTCGGATCACGACGCCTGCTTCACCACTATCACGCCTGGTCGGTGTTGCTGCTGTTGCTGAAAACAAGAAAAAATGGTAATCACATAACAAATTATAAAATAGGCGTCTTTCAACGCTACCGAACATTAGGTCAACGTCCACAGAAAAGTCACTAGTGACCGTTTCAATCGCGATGCAACCACAATTTTGCGGTCCGCTCTTTGACTATGACTGGTTTACAAATAATAACAACGATCCTTGTATTGCGATACGCTCATTGATAGCTCTGCATGTACCGAGGCGGTATTGGCAAACTGTCACAAATTGTTCAGAAAACGCTACATTTATTCTGAGCTGAATGGAATTCAGTTCTTTCCATGGTTTTTGTTGGTTCCTTCAAAAAAGCCATATGAAATAAGTTATCATACCGTGTTAAGTCCAGGCTGCGTAGATAACTGGCAACCATGTCAAATAGACAGACGATTGATTAAATAAGCAATTTGAGGTTAGAAAACTTTTGAATTTCAAGCTGAGGTTCCTCTTTTGTGGCTAAACTAAATCGGGTAATATTCCGCGTAGAGCCCTAAAAGTTAAATAGCTGTGTGATAAAGGTTTTGAGAATAACTTTTTTTAAGGAGTGTGATTTATGACTTTATTGGATGAAAAATATATTTTTTAGGCTGCAAACGGATGATAAATATTCCCATGTTTAGACTACATCAACTGTTTTGTGGACGAGATTATTTTTAGATACATATCGTATCTCTCTCTTATTTATTCGCCGTGTTTAAGTGTCTTCTCATCACATAAATACTATTTTGTTAGGCAGCTGTTTTTTGCCTACGTAGTTAGAGATCCTACCTGTACTCCTTGCGCGGCGAACTCGAGATACGCCCTCATCTCCCCTTTGACTTGCTCTACGGTGGGCACCTGCTGCTGCGCGGTCGCTGTCCGATGTCCTGTCGTCAAGGCCAACGGGACCTCCTGGTCGTCGCTGAACATGTGGTCACCCTCCAAGTGCCGGATGGCCTCGACAATGGTCTCCAGGTTCTGCCGCGAGGTGTTGGACACTTGGTATAGGTGGGCCGCACCAGCTACGGTAGTGGTGGATGACGCCCCGGTGGAGGCGCCAGCTACCAAGGCAGTGGTGCCGGCTGGAGATTCGACAGAGTCGTGTGTGCCGGTGTTGCCAGGCGAAGGTAACCTGGAACAGGAGAAAGATAAGAAATTGGAGATACTTAAATACACAAAGAACTGTCAATCCACACACCCTTACTACGTAAATGATGACTACCTTGGCGGAAAACTCAAATGTCAAAATACATGAAGCCGTTTGGACTGTAAATATCTGCTACTTTGTTTTTATAACATATAAAATGTATAATAACATTTTTCATGTGTATCCATTGAAAGGATCAACGGTTTTATACAAACTCCCATCCCGGCTTCATGGATTTTGACATACGAGCGAGTGACACATTTTATAAAAACAATGGAATATTATGTTAGAAAATCTAAACAATTCATAGATTTTGACATGGGATGTAACTCAAGATTCGTCTTGACGGGCCAACTGACACTGGGTATACCAAATTTCGTAAAATCAAAATGGCGGATATTAAAAACATCAACCTTTACATTTCTATTTTACGGGCCACATACCTAACGGCTTGATATAATTTGACATTTGATCGATTCGTCTTGATATCACAACTTAAAATTCATTCTTTTCCGTTACCGCAGGGCCAGTTTGTATTTTTTAATTGTACAATTTTTGCAAAATTCACACACTGCGTATCAGTTATCAGTGGCTTGTATTATATGTGTGTATGTGCGCGCCCGCCGTCTTGTGAGTCGTTCCTTCAATAATTATTGTAGGATGCCTTTATGGCCTCCTTGATTTTCATTATTTTTGCTTTGCTTCAGTAATGCAAGTGCGTGATCGCCTGGTACGGAACCATTATTTCTAGATTTCTACCGTGTCGCCTATTTTGATAGCAGAAGCATATTTTCTTGCTAATAATGTCGATCAGTCAATAACATTTTCCTGCATCGAACAAATTCCACAAGCTGCGGTACCTACAGGAAATTATTGGGTTAGGAAAATGCCATATCTGGTATTAATGGTCTAAAGATGACCCATTTAATGCAAATGGATATATGTACATATATTTGTACATATAGAAGCCCAAAGGTTTACAACCGACCTGTTCTCTTGTTGAAAGTAGTACAAAATTAATTAATGCATATTCATATTTATATACTTATAGCATTTTTTTCAGATGTTATTCATTCTCACAGACTTTATGAAATATTGGTTCCTCATTGGATGAGAAATATTGTATCCCAAGTGCAACTGCATTATTGATGTCAGAGATGCCTGTTCACAAATTATTGTTGGACTCTGGATTGTATAGAATGTCAGGCTATAAGTATGTGAAGACTTGAAGTAAATAATGTGCTAAGTGCCAAAATTATTATTTTGAGACAATATTTTTTATTCTACAATCAATGTATTGAAAAAACTCCGAAAATTAAGCATAGGTTTATTCAAATATATATATATATATATTTTTCGGTAACTTTTTGTAAAAAATAGCAGAAAAAAATTATAACAGTTACAAAATCATAGAGTGTGCTAAGTGCCATTACAAAAATATAAATATTGTGGTAAATAATAACGAAAAAAAAACTACAAATTTAGCTTCTAACTTCTAATGAATATTACCGTAAACCGGTAAACTTCGACATACTTTTGGCATAAATCATTCTGAACTTTCATGTGTAGGCTGATAGACAATATTATATAAATGTCAACGTAACATTTAAACCTTTGGCTATCAGCTAGACTCTTTATTAAAATCCTATATTTTCTTCACATACCTTTTTTTATTTTTAAATTTGTGCCGATGTTGCCCCTAGGTAAAGGTAACTTCGTCATCATATGTATTTTAAATGATATGTCGATTTTATGGTTCGCGAGGGTTACATCGACACCTAGAAATTATATTTTTAACAAAAATACTATAATATATTAAAAAAACTTTCTCAAAAATTTACAAAAAGAAATGAAACAAACGTAATAAACAACAGAAAACGTGTAACTCTTAAAATTAAAATAAAATAAAACGCCAGTGCAACAAAAACAAAATAAAAGTATACAAACTAATACTAACACAAAAATAATCCAAATATCTAATTATCATCTTCACATATAGGACACATATATTGATTTTTTTTGACGCTTTGTTGCAAATGCCGCAAATCCATCTGAAGCAAATGACACAGCAAATCCAATCTGGACCTCTGTATTTAGAATAGAGGCATTTACATATTGCACACAGATCGTCGCTACTCTTCTCTGCCTTAGATTGCGTAGCAGTAGGTTGAGGTTTGGAGGGACCTGGTTAGGAATTAACATAAACCTGAACGGTCTTTTTGACAACGGATAATGGGAGGTTGTCCTCGTCTGAAGAAATTGAATCTGCAGGAAGATTCTCAACAGGTGGCAAGCACATTCGCTCTCCGGGCCTTGTCTTTAGCTTTTTTCCTCTTTTCCGCGAGGCGGATTCATCTGTTTGAGCTCCTCGAGATCCCCTGAGAAAATCTAATAGACTCTCATCGAGCATCCTTGATGTGGAAGATGAATCGTGAAAATCAGGAAGTTTGGATAAAATGGTGTCAGGGCTAAACGGACAAATTCCGGTTGTTCGAAAACCCGATATCAAATTTGCCTTAGCTGTCGTAGACACAGAACCCCACAGTTTATTTAGAAGAGCTGGGAACTGCTCTTTCGGAATTGTCCCCTTTCGTATGGATTCCTTTTTCCAATTGTCCAGGACTGCCCTCCATTTTCTTTTCATTGGGGCAAAGAAAATGACATCCAGCGGTTGTAAGAGATGGGTTGAATTTGATGGGAGCGGAGTCATGTAGATATTATTTTCCTTAGCAGTCTGTATAACAAGTAGGGAGAAATGCGAAGCAATATATCACCAATTACAATTGTTTGTTCATCCTTTTGACTATGTTCCTTGATATGTGGAAGCAAAATATACAAAAACCACTGTTCGAAAAGGTTCATGTCGAACCAACCACTTTTGCTATGACTATACACCGTTCCAGCTAGCCCACCTTGCGTCCAATTGTTATACAGATTCTGGGATTTGTACACTAGCATTGGTGGTAGAAGTTCGCCATCTGCCGTTCCGCATATCATAATACTTACAGAAGTCCTCGAATGTTCCTTGATTCTCTCCACTCTTTTCATGCCTCTTGGAACGAGAACCCTTTTAGAGCCCGGCAGGATTATTACCGAACTTCCAACCGACCGTCAACCGACTCGAGTTGGTCGATAGTTGCTGTCAAACGCAAATTTCGTATTATGTATCAGTCAGTGCGTCTCAATCGCCGACCGGCTACGGTGGCGCCTCTATGGAGCAACTGGTGAACGAAAAGTGCATTATTTTGTTAGGAGTATAAAAAAATTGGTATTCCCTAACTCATTGACAGCGACCCAACAGCAACTTACTAGCGATTTGAACTGTCAAATTAACAACTGCTTTGTGGTAGTCGACTAGTCGGTCGCTAGTCGGTTGCTAGTGTCTTGTTTGGATAACATTGTCAAAACTATTCATTTTTTCTAACAAGAAAGGTAAGTATAACAAGTTCAAATAAGGAATAAAATAGCTTGACGAGTCTAAGAAGTGATTGTATGCTCCCAATTTGTATTTTCAGCAATTTTGATTCTCTGGTTGGCTCGTGCATTTTTACTTATGGAAGCATTGGAAAGCGAAAGAATGCACGATCAAAGACGGCAAACTTCTCGCCTACGACGTATTTCTCAGTATCTATGACTTGAAGTTCATAGTGATTATCAAATAAGCTTACTTGCACCTTCCTACCGCAGTATAGAAACAAATTGGTTTTAGGTATTAGCAGCACTTCTGGTGCTGGCCGCTGGTTCCTGCCAGAAACATATTGGCATGGGTTATTTACATGGGCTCAGTCAACCTAGTGTATCCAAAGCACTACATTATCCAGACATTCTATCTAAGCATATCTACTTCCCTTAAACACTGTCAGAGAGGATAGTAATTATATTGCCATTCATATTAAGAAAGTGAGATATCAAAATTGTATGGTGGATCATTAACTGAGAAACTAATGAGTTCAGCTACATCAAAAATTTTCAACACATGGAAGTTTACATTACCTGCTAAAAATTCCATCGCTGTGGAAGTTGAATTTCCTATTAACAAGAGTAATAAGTCAATATTTTCGATCCTAAGATCAATACCTCAGACTCATTATCTGTGAGATTAACAATACAGCAACAAATCCGAGTCTTAATATTTCACATATTTTAGGCAACATACTGATTTCAGCACTAATATTTACTTTGATTTTTTTACTTTAGTTGTAATTATTGTTATATGCCTGCTTGAAGATGAGTAATAATGAGAGATATATTTTTGCAGGTGACTCTGGACATCCATTAAGAATCGGTCTTACCAGAAATACCATAGGGCCATGCACAGGAGTATTAAAATTTGTATTATCTACTGTATCGAACATTTTAAATTTCCATGAAATAATGTTCATTGTCTTATGCTTATGCTTAATGATAGCTCTGCTTTAAAAAGATTTTATCAACCACTGGAAAGAAAATGTTAATGTTTATAGAATTAGTTTTCTAGGAAGGTTTATTTTCACATGTCCATATTCAACAATATCTATTTTAGAGGATTTGGAACAACCTAAAAGTACGCTTTGGGCGAAGATCAAGAAAAATTGCAAAATGCATTTGTAACAAAAAGCACTGCCTTTTTAAAATATAGTTATAAAACCGCTGACCTTCTTTTTGTAATAGAACCTTCAACTTTTTTATCAATTTAAGCATTAATGGTACTAAATACAATCGTAAAAATTAAAAAAAAAACGGTGTTCGACAATCACTCAAACAGCCTAGAACTTCGCCGCTTGTGAAGATTAGTACAAATCGCTAAATGTATTTCTAATGGGGACCAATTCTCTTTAAAAAATGTATCAAATGCATTTCTACAAATACAATTTTTTTAATGACACTCCTATTTTATTTTCATCAATTTGTAATGCAATTATTTTAAGTACAATAAAAAAAATCTTATTGTCTTAAAAATATGTTGAGAGATAAACTTTTTACTGTATTAAAGAGTTATAAATGAT